TTTGGACAGGATGGGGAGGGTCTTGGCTGGGGAGACCCCATCTGGTCCCACTCATGGTAAGAACAACAGAGGCTCAGGGAAGTGCTGGGACCCACCCGAGGCCTCAGAGTGAGGCGCTGAGTCCAGGAGGTGGTCTGTGCATCTCCCACCTCTGACGAGTGAGGGTGTGCATCCCCGAAGCAGGGCAGCCTCAGCAGGACTGGAAGCACGCGTGTGTGTGTGTGTGTGTGTGTATGTGAGTAAGACATGTGCATGGAGCCCTGCTGTGCTAGCCCAGGCCCCCAGGAGAAAATCTTTGTGTCTAAGACCACGTGGGTTTTATTCAGAGCCCCATGTCCCCATACACTCCTGCAGACGCGTTGAACTTGTCTTCTGTTCCTCCAACCCTAAATCCCAACCACACCCAGCCGGCTCCTCCCCGTCTCGCCGATCTCAGCTGAGGGGACCACCATCCACCCAGGGGCCAAATCCAGGAGTGTGGGTATCACCTGGGCTCTGAGGATGAAATCGGCTCCTCCACAGTCAACAGAACATCTGGTCACCTCTTCTAAAGGTTAAACCTTTCGTGTGCATTCAAATAACTGCATTTTGAAGTGAGCTTACCTCCCCTCTCTGCAGATCTCAAAACCATTCTTGGAAGCTGCAGGGCCCGGGGGGTCTTTGTAGGATTCTCATATAAAAATGAATCTGTAATGATGTTCTAAGAAACTACGGTGTGTGGCCCAGCCCCCAGCTGGTGAACTCCCCTCCTTCTTCCCTGCAACACAATTCTTACACCCGCAAAGTTGCATTTAAAGTTTTCGATTGTGGGTGGGTTTTTTTTTCCTACACCCCCATCCCCCCTTCCTCCACCCCAAGGCTGTGCCAGGATAGATGTCAGCCACTGGCCTTGGAAGTAGCAATACAGGTGAGGCTGGAACGGGCTCATCTAGGACCCACGTTTGTTCCTGCTGTTCCAAGTATATGCTACTGAAGTGCGACAGTCAGACAGCCTCATAAAAAACCTACTGTGGGCAACACTGCTGGGCAGGGGGGTGGTATTTTTGACACGAGAGGAAACTGGACTTGCCTGGTGCCACACAGCTGGTGAGGGGCAGAGCTGGGTTTACAGCCCAGGATGTCTACTCCAAGGACTGTTCTCTCTCCCTCTGAGGATACTAACTCAAAAGACACAATCAGTGAGCACAGAAGCGGGCAGGTGTGTGTGGGGGACATGCACTGATGTGGCACAGTGTGAAGGCAGCACAGTGCTAGTGAAAGAGCCAGGAACCTGAGACTGTTTCCTCTGTAAAGTGGAGATAGTGATTCTTACACTGCAGCTTGGCTAAAAGTGCAGTGGTTCTCAATGTGTGGCTCCCTGGATCGGCAGCCACCGTGTCACCTGGGAACTTATGAAACATGCAAATTCTGTGGTCCAACTCCGGGCCCGTGGAATCAAAAACTCGGGAAGGGAGCTCAGCAGTCTCTGTTTGAACCAGCCCTTTGATGATTTGAATGCAAGCTCAAGTTAGAGGACCATTGCATTAGAGTCAGGATAGACTAACCATCATAGCAAATGTCCCCTAAACTTTGATGGCTTTGAAAAATAAATGTCTTTTGCTTACATCACAGTCTCTGGCGGAAGGCTGAGGGGCTGGGTTGGCAAACACTCTGCGCAGTCTTTCAGAGACCCAGATTCCCTCCATTTTGTGACTCCACCCTCTGGTAGGTCTTTGAAGTCTCTAGTCTAGTCAGCTGGTGGCTGGGGAAGAGGGTGAAGATCCCGGGAGGGAGAATCTTAGGAAAGAGGCCTGGATGGCTTGCACATCACTTGTGCTCACGTTCTGTTGGCCACAACTCAGAAGCCATGTCAAACTACCAGGGCTGGAAAAGGCCTCGCTGTGTGTGCAGGAGGAAGAGGCGAGGCCAGGTATCGGAGGACACCAGTGGTCTGTGCCCCGAGACCCACAGCTTAGGGAAGTGAAGAGTGGGACTGGAATCCCCCTCTGTAGGGAACTGAGGGCCCAGCCTGTGGATGGGTGTGTGGGATACCACGGGGCTAGAGATGTGGTCTGTGAGCAGATGAGGGGGCAGACAGCACACGAACTCCTGTCTGTGCCCTCCAGATGTGACCACTGGGGAGGTAAGGCACTGCTGCGTGGCCCCAGAAGGGCTGTCCAGCTCAGAACAAAAGTCCACGGGGTGGGAGTGGAGGATGGGAGGGCAGGAACCTGTTAGGGCTCAGTAAGACTTGGGTTTAAGTCCTGGAGCATTAGCAGCTGTTTGACCTTGACAATAAAATTGACCTTGGCAGGGGCTTCCCTGGTGGCACAGTGGTTGAGAGTCCGCCTGCCGATGCAGGGGACACGGGTTCGTGCCCCGGTCCGGGAAGATCCCACATGCCGCAGAGCGGCTGGGCCCGTGAGCCATGGCCGCTGAGCCTGCGCGTCCGGAGCCTGTGCTCCGCAACGGGAGAGGCCACAGCAGTGAGAGGCCCGCGTACTGCAAAAAAAAAAAATTGACCTTGGGATAATAAAATTGCCTGCTTCATAATCTTGTTCTGAGAATTAAGTAAGCTAGGAGAAGAAAGCCCTTGGCACAGTGCCTGCTGCCTCACGGTGGGTGTGTAGGAAATATTAGCAGTAATCTCTGGTTGCTCTTCTGAGGAGGGCCTGGGGATGGGGGGCCCAGGGCTCACTGGAGTTCTCAGCTGCTTACAGGGCAAGGGCACTGCTTCTCCTCTCTACCGGGCAGGACAGCCTTGGGGCCTGCTGGGGCTGGGCTTGTGGTCTGGAGGTGACTCTGCAGCTGAGAGGGGCAGCAGGCAGGGCTGGCCGACTGTGTGGTCTTTAGTAGGTGCCAGGGGACCTGGGGAGGGCTGTGTGGGGGGCTGCCAGCGTTGAAGCCTGTTTGCCGTCTGCAGCCTCAGAGTTTCCTCCTGCCCTTTGAGTTAATAAGAATCCGTCCTGGGCTGAGACTGAGTCAATCTGTTATACTTGTGCTGAGTGGCCTTGTTCCAGGGGAATTTGGACGGAGTAGAGTATTTTCTAATTAGCAGGACTGGGGCTCCTGGAGAGGTTTTGGGGGCAGGGGTGCAGGCGAATATAGGTCATCTGTCTGCATCAGAGTGCCGGCTGATGGAGAGGGGGGCGGCTGGCTCAATACTCCCTCCACCTGAGGACCCGGAGCTGCCTACTGCACCAGCTGTGTGCAGGCCAAAGGACTCAGCATCCTGTGAGCAGAGGACTGGCCTTCTCTGGAAACCTCCTTTTCTTTGCTGTGTCACTGGCTTCCCAGGGGAGGCGATGGAAGGGGTGCTGGGCAGCAAGGAGATGGGGTGGCTGCAATCAGAGAGAGATCGGGGCCCAGGAGGACCTCCTGTGGGAAATGGGCCAGCAGGAGGGGCCCTGAGAGAGGGTCTGGCCCAGGTCCTTAGTGTCACATCCTGTCCACTTCCGCAGCATCCTTGGCAAGACAATTGGAGGGCGAGCCAAGCCACTGCGGTGGTCAGGACACACCGGTTGCAATGACCTTAACTCAGACAAGGTTAAGCAGAAGGGGACTCCTATGACAGGGAGGGAGGGTGGGACAGTCACAGAGAGGAGCGGGGCATCGGGGGCTGGAACAGACTTCACACTGCCCAGTGTTTTCTTCTCTCCATCGGTGTCTCCGCCTCTCTTCAGCTTGGCCCATCTCCCCTACTGCACACAGACCCTCACCCCTGTGGGGAGACGCAAGAGCCAGCAGCCCCAAGTTAGAACCGTAGCAGAAAACCAGCCGATTTCTGCCAGTGTTTGTGTCTGGCCCAGGGATTGTGCGGGACTCAGGACTTTTTCCTTTAAACCAGAAGGAGTCTGGGGGCACAGAATTAGCTACCGGCACCCACAACCCCTGCCTAATATATTGACTCACCAAGTTAGTGAGGAACCAGGTCCCATATGAAGGAGCAGGAAACAACTCCCACTGTTACCTACCGTGAGCCTGGCCAGATGATTCTGACAAAAGCCCTGTGCAGCACCCTGATTACTTGAGAAGCTCTACCCAGGAGGTCAGACCTGGCTGGCTGCAACCCTGGGCTCTGAAGCTGAGCTCATAAACTCGTGTGTTTGTGCTCTTGTCTTTTTGTTTACGAATGTCAGCATTGGTGTCCTCACCCTGCACAGGTACTCCGATCCCAGCAATTCCATGGTGAGGAAAGCCCCAAGCCCTCTCCCACGATCTCTGCTAATTCCTGGCACTTGTGCCCCTGTGCCTCCCACTCCTGTGTCCCTTAATGGTCCCCTTTATGTCCCTCATCTGTCCTGGCAGAATTGAATAAAGTTCACTTTTTTTCTTTTCTAAATAAGAAACCTCACAGCAAGCGTTTTGTGAGTTAAATCGTTTTGATAAAGACCTGGGGCAGGGTGGTCCAGTCTCGGGTGTGTGGCTGTGCCCCTCGCTTCTTCCACGGCCATCTCTGGGCTCAGGAACCCTGATTTTCAGTCCTGTGTTACATGGAGTAACGCAGTTCACCCCAGCTTGGCCTCCCAAATGTGCATACCCAAACCTAGCATGGTCTGCAGAAGTTCACAGGCCTTTTCTTTTCATAGGACCTGCTTACTCTCCTTAGAAGGCAGTGAGGGTTAAAATACTCTTTTTCCTGATACGTAAAACTGGGACTATCCTACACACGCTTTCCCCCAAGTATTACATCATGAGTACACTTTTATGCCAACGGATATTCTCAACATTAATTCCAATGGCTGCATAGTAGAATCACAAGTGATAGGCAAGGATCTATTAACCCAACTCTGTTTATTGAACAAATATCCATTCTCCCCCACCCCATTATTATTATGATGATTATTTTTGCGGTATGCGGGCCTCTCACTGTCGTGGCCTCTCCCGCTGCGGAGCACAGGCTCCGGACGCGCAGGCCCAGCAGCCACGGCTCACGGGCCCAGCCGCTCCGCGGCATGTGGGATTCTCCCGGACCGGGGCACGAACCCGCGTCCCCTGCATCGGCTGGCGGACTCTGAACCACTGCGCCACCAGGGAAGCCCCCACCCCATTATTAACTTTCTTTTGATCACATACGAAATAATTACATATGTATTTGGATCACTGTCTGGACTTTCTCACTTCAATCTACCTGTTTTTGTCAGAACCGAAATGTTTGTTTTAGAAGTCTGAATACTGGCAGTATGGAGTTCAATATTCCACAATATTTTCTAGGCTGTTCTCGCTCGTTCATTCTTTCAGTTAACTTGTGGATCATTTTATTAAGTCTCTCCTCCACGTCCCAATTAAATTTCAGGTTTGGCTCGAAATTGTATTAAACGGATGACTTCTTTGAGGTTGTATTAGTTATGCATTGCTGCATGACAGCACATATACATCGCACACTCTTTCTGAGGGTCAAGAATCTAGGAACAGCTTGGCTGGGGGATTCTGGCTCAGGGTCTCTCATGAGGTTGCACTGAAACTGCCGGCTGGGGCCGCAGTCTCCCCTGACCAGGTCCTGTGCCAACCGCACTCACGTAACTGTTGGCAGGAGGCTTCAGTTCCTTGACATAGGGGTCTCATGACATGGTCTCCCCAGAGTGAATGACGAGAGAAAGAGAGAGAGAGGGGGGAAGAGAGAGAGGGAGAGAGAGAAACCGAGGGGGAAGCAGAAAAGTCTTTGATAACCTAATCTCAGAAGTGACAGATCATCACTTCTGGCGTATCTTATTGATCACACAGACCAACCCGGATATGCGTGAGAGGGGCCACGCCAGGTCACAGCTGCCAGGTGGCGGGGATCATCGGGAACCATCTTGGAGGCTAAGTAACACAGAGGCGAACTGAACATGTTATGGTAATAGGTCTTCCTGACTGTGAATGTGGTGTGTCTCTATATCAGCTTAAATCTTAGGTATGCTCTCAATGAGGATTTTTACTTTTCTTCATATAGGTCCCCCACAATATTTATCACCAGAGTTTTATATCTGGTTCCTATTGTGAACGGGATCTCTTTCACATTGTATTTTCTAAGTAGTTGTTGCACTCAAACAGGGACACTATTGCTTTTTATGGCCATGATTCTTCCGTGGAGCTTAACGGGTGACAAAGCAGAAATTCCTCTAGACTTTCACTGAGCCCTTGGATCGCAAAACGGAGACCAGGTAAGATCCTAAATGTGCTCTTGGGACCAGCTTCCTCAAGTGACTGTGTGCCAGGGAGGCGGGGGGAACGTAAGGACGGCCTTCCTGCAGCCTATCTTTTCGCGGTGCCTGTGCTCCAGGCTGCCTGAGGCCGAGGTGACAGGGTCCTCTGGCCAATACGTGACCTAACTTCGAGGGAGCCCTGTGGTCAGGGCATGGGGGGACAGCCGGGGAGGCGACCTGTGGCAGGGCCAGTCCACCTAATGCTCCACAGACTTAGCCCATCTGCCCACGACTTCCAGGTACGAGTCTCCAGCAACCTCTCTCCAGAGCCCTATTCCGGATGCCTCCCCAGCATTTGCACAGGCTCTGGTCAACTCCGGTATGAACGTTCCTTCATCCGTTCTTGTTTCCAGTAGCTACAGTATTTATCCAGCACCTGCTGCATGCCAGACAGTACTCTTGAGGACATCAGCAAAGCACCTGCCCTTGCGGTGCTTGTTACAAGTCGGGAGAGAGAGACAAAACCAAACAAACTGTGAATGGTATTTTACAAAGTGAGTGATACGGGAAGAAATAGAGCCGAATAATGGGGGATCAGGACAATGGAGGAGTTAAAAGTTTGAGCAAAGACTTGAAGGGGGTGAATGAGCTAGCCGGGTTCTGGGCAGACGGACAGCCAACACAAGGAAGCGGGAGTGGTGGCGCCAGGGGCTATCTGAGGGGGTGGAAGGCAGATCCTGTGAGCCTTGGGCTTCTCTGAGTAAAATGGGAGCCACTGTAGGGTTTTGAGCAGAGGAGTAACATGATCTAAGTTTTAAAATGATTTTTGATGGAAGCAGAGACACCTGATAGGAGGCTCTGGGAGGAGGAAATGTCCCCCAGTTCTGCCCTCTTGGTACCCACTGGCAATGCCACTACAGTCCTCATCACCTCCCTCCTAGACTCTGGCCAGACTCTGCTGACTCTTCTCCCCACCTCCTGCTCCCCTGTCTCAGAGAAATGTCTCCAAGTCCTTCTCCAGTTTAGGAACTCTGGCAACATGAACGGTTTATCCCTGCCAACGCTGTAGCCTCCCAGGCTACGGAGGTCTGGCTTTGTCTGCATGTCCCTCTCTGGGGGTGGGTGCCAGTGTGGACGAGGCTGTGCACATCCTGCCCCACGAGTACTGAACTCCAGAGGCCAATTTTCTTGGGTCACGTTTTAGAACTTCTGAAATACATTTATTTCAGCCACGTGAATTATGTATCTTAGTCACTGCATAAAGCAATACAGAATTGTCTAAAGTGGGCTTCCTCCCCCTTCCAAGAAGAAAGAAACCATGTGTGTGTTCTTCCATATTTTTTCCTTTGCCCATACAAAAATAATCAAACAGAATTTAAAAAATGGATTACACCGTGCACAATATTCTGCGTGTCGCCTTTTCATTTTCCTGCCCTGGACATTTTCCCCGGCCAAAGCAGACAGATGGACTTCATTCTCTGTGACATATGTTAGTGTTCCTCCCCAGGGGCCCTCCCCGCCCCACCCCACTGAGGGACATTCAGGTGGTTTCCAGTCACTTTCATAACAACATTGCGTGCGTGTACCCCGCCCCCAGAGGGAACTGCTTTAGCATACAAAGTTAAACACATCACATCGGCCAATAAAAAATGAAAACAAAATAAAACCAGTTGGAAGGCGGCAGAAAAGCGTGTGTGAATACCCCGGGGCCCCTCATCTCGTTCGTTTGCAGTCGCCGGAAGCTGCCTGGGCAGGAACCGCCGCGGGCTCCTTTGGTCTGCGCGCCTCCCGGGCCGGGGTCCGGGCCCTGGACGGCCATCGTGTACCCGCCGCACCGCCGGTCCTCCCGCACCCAGATCCCGGCGCATCCCGGCGGGCGTAGCCGACCTTGTGCTGCTCCCGGCGCCCGGCTCTCCCACGTGCTGCCGCTCCCGCTCGGATCGGCCGCCAGGGGGTGCCACAGGCCGGGCTGAGCGGCCTCCTCCGCCGCGGGAGGGCGACGGGCGGGAGGACGCCAGCCCAGAGGTGGCGCCGATCAGGGCCAGGCAGCTCCCACCGGCGCCGGCCCTAGAGCGTCTTTCCGGAAACCGGATCCAGCCCGCGCCCCGGCTGCGCTGCGCACTCGGCCTCCTGCCCCACTGACCTGGGATTACCAGGGAGCGCTCCGCCGGCTGCGGCACAAAACGGGCAGCTAGCGGGGCCCTTCCCAGCCGGCCGCCACCCACCCTCTCTCAACGGTGTCACCACCGCAAGGATGACACCTTCACCGCTCAGCCAGAGGACTGGACCTCACACCCACAGCAGTCGTCCCATCCCTACGGCCCCGTACTGTGCTGTCTCTCCCCTCTTCTTGTAGGCATCTGGTGGACCCAGAAAGTAAGAAGCTGCCCGCGGGAAGCTAGACTCCCTTCGTGCCGTTCGTGCCCTTCCTCCCCTTGTTTCCTCTCTGGACGCCGGGCTCCCACCCAGCCACAGTTAGGACAAGGGAGATTAGAGCTGTGCCGGAGGCTCGGATGGCCTCAGTCTAAGAAACTGAGCGAGCCGGGACGCCGAGCCCTGAAAGGTCTTCGGTGGGGAGGAGAGAGAAGAGGGCGGGTGGGGTCCAGGGCCACAGCGCTGCATGGCAAGAGCCTCTGTGTGGAGTCTCCAAGGTCTGGGTCACCCGGGGACAAGCCAGCCAGACCTGGGGGAGGGGCAGCCTGGCCCTCCGCACTTTTTGTGACCCCGTGGGATTAAAGCTCATCTGAACCCGCTTAATCCTTACTGTTGTGGGTCTACCTTGCAGGAGAAGACCGCCCACTCACACCCGGGTTCCATCAGTTTTGGGTGCCTGATCCACCTTTAGTCCTCATGGGGAGGGAAGGGGACATGAAGGTCACCAGCCCAACTAGGCCACAGTGCTACAAACCATCAAAAGATTCACAGTACCCAGTGGTTGTCATATTTGAAAGTTGGATGGAGTCCCAGGGTGGGTAGCCATAGGCAAGTTGCTTACCTTCTCTGAACCCCAGTTTGAATACAGGGTCAGCTGGGAGTAGCTCTGAGCAGCTGGTAGGGTGAACTTTGGGTCTCAGCACGAGCAGCGCCTGCCCATCCTCACGGCCAAAGACAGGTGGGCTCCCTCCAAGCAGAAAGCAACATCCTGCTCTGTCCAGGGTGCTTCGCATTCAGGGCATGGAGACGACAGAGAAGACACACTTGCATTCTTTGTTTGTGATTATCTCCAGGTACTTGCAAACAACAAAAAGATAAGCAACAACGAAAATTGACCCCAAATTGAGGGTTAATCTGTCAGCACACACATAGCCTTAGAACCTCATTATAGGGAGAAGGCAGAGGATGTCTGCCTCCTTCATGTCCTTGAATTCCATGATCAAGCCCCTCGGGCGGCCCTACTGGTTCTATTTTGCTTTCTTCCTTGGCTGCAACGCAGAAAGAAGGAAAGCTCTTTTCTCCTCCAAGGCCGAGTGTTAGAAGCATTACCTCAGTAGCCCAACGTCCTGGAAAAGAGGAAGCTTGGCAATGATGGAGCAGGTAGAGCGAGAGGCCAGGCAGCCTAGAAGCTCCTGGCTGGCTCCTCTGGCCTGTTTGACGTTGGCTCAAAAGACATGGAATTAATAGGCAAAGCTGCCTCCTCCTCCTCCTCTTACCTGTGGAGGAGAGATCGGTTCCCGGTTGGCTGGGGCAGTGTCATTGATATAGCTGGTGTCATCGTTACCTTCCATGAACAGATCACTCGACACCTGCCAGGGCCAGGAAGGGCCGGGCCTGGGTTTTGCCCGCAGAGCTGGAGGCTTTCACTCTCCCATTGTCCCAGAGCCCAGGGGAGGTCAAGACACAGGCTCTGCTGGGATGTGGCTCTTGGTGACCCAGTAGAAGGACTGGACAGCTCCTGGTGCTGGATCCCCCTTGCAGGTCCTGGCTGCCTCTTGGCTTCCTGCTGCCTGATCCCTGTGGCTGTCCTGGGCAGAGGAGATGAATTCGTGGCTGGCCGGGAGCTGAGGCCGAGCAATGGTGCTGCACAGAGAAGTGGCTCTGGGAGTGACCCTGGCGTGAGGAGCCAGGGGCGAGGAGCGGCCTGGGGTGTCCCTCCCGGCGTGTGCATCCCAGGTGACACCATGCTGCAGCAGATCCTGCACGACATGTACATCGACCCCGAGCTCCTGGCCGAGCTCAGTGATGTGCAGAAGCACATCCTCTTCTACAAGATGCGAGAGGAGCAGCTGAGACGCTGGAGGGAGCGTGAGGCTTGGGAGGCCCTGGCCCAGTTCGAGGGACTCAGGCCCCCCAAGGTCAAGCGAGGTATGTGGGTGGGAGTCACCAAGGGGCTGACCCCTGGCCTCCCGGGAGGTAGAAGAGTTATCGATGTCAGGCTATGTTCTTTAAAATGGGCACTGGTGTGATGAGGGCTGGGGGCTTGAAACCCTTGTTCTGTGAGCATCCCTTCCCATTAGCCTGGGTGTCTATCTTTTGACTAGGTCTGTAGGGCTCCAAGGCCGCACAGGGAACTGCCTGGGGACCCTGATGGCATTGGGGCACGGGGACTTGCTTTGTCTTGTTGTGGAGGGCCCAGGTTCTGGGAAGACACCACTGGGATCTCAGACTGTGCTCAGACCCTGTTGGTGACTGCCTGGTGGGTAGAAGCCATGTTCTTTTTTTTTTTTTTCTTTTTTTTTTGCGGTACGCGGGCCTCTCACTGTTGTGGCCTCTCCCGTTGTGGAGCACAGGCTCCGGACGCGCAGGCTCAGCGGCCATGGCTCATGGGCCCAGCTGCTCCCGTGTCCCCTGCATCGGCAGGCGGACTCTCAACCACTGTGCCACCAGGGAAACCCAAGGCCATGTTCTTGAACCTCACCGGTGGTTCCGGACAGAGGGCCAGGGTGCAGCAAAGACACATCACCCGTCCCTCACTTGCGTGTGCGGCATAGTGGTTCCAGCACAGTGCCCGTGCCCCTCCTCCCTGTCCTTGTGTGCGAGGATGCTTTGGGTTGTGCTGGAGCCCCAGCGGGCCTCTGGAGAGAGGGTGTCAGGGAATGTCCCGCGCTAAGAGTGACCAACCCCAATGGCGATAGCAACTGCAGACAAGAAGCAAGGGTTCAACCCACGTTTCCGGTGGTTATTCTGCAGTGATGTGCCAGTCAAGGCTGTCGCCGGGGCGCCTGTGAGTGACGGCGCACCTGACGCAGGCAGGCTGCTGAGTTGCTGCGGGACTCAAGGTCCTGCCGGGAAGGGCACTTTACGTGGATGCTGCACTTCACGGTTTGCAAAGCCCATTCATCTCTCTCGTTCACTCCCCACAGCAACCCTCCTCTTGGTCTCCATACTGTTGACCAGAGTGAAGTGCAGACTTGATCTGTTTGTAAGTTTTCAGTCCAGGAAAAAGTCCTGTTTCTGGACTGGACATACAGGCCCCTTGGTGACCTGGCTCCCTCTCTCTACTCCAGGCTCACTGCTAGACAGCGCCTGCCATGTGCCGTAGGCCACTCTGGCACCCATCTGGACACCTTGCTCTAGCCTCTGTCTTTACACATGTGAGTCTTCCCATTGGGAATGTTCTCCCGCCTTCGTCCTCCTGACAAACTCCTTCAGTTCTAGCCCCTGCCTCCTGGAGTCTCTTGGGGATGCTCCTGGCATAGGGAAGTACTTGCTCCTCGGCACATAGGACCCGTCTTTGCCCTAGCACTTGCCACACTGTCAGTGTCATGCATCGTCTGCTCACCTGGCTCTCCCAGGGGACGCAAAGCCACAGGAGTGAGCACATTCTCCATTCTGTCTTCCATCCTTGGGTCCAGCACAGAGCTGGCACAGAGTGCGGAATCCCCTTTTGAACAGGACACAGTAGGACCCCAAGGAGGGAGAGCTCTGACGTGACTGCGTGTGGCTGGTGCCAAGGGTGGGGCTGCACTGGCAGCTGCATCACTGAAAATGACAGGCTGCCTTTCCTGCCCCACCCGGCCTGAGCCCTGGGGCCTCATGCTGTCTGTCAGGTGGCTCTTCTGCGAGGAGGACAGACGCCTAAAGCTTTAACTGCAAAAATGTTTTTACAGCGATTTGTCACACGTTGACATCTACATTTTCGTGTATAAATTATACATTAAACTCATTCGGGTTTCTGGTGCAGAAGACTCTTTTCCAGATAATTAATTTTCTGATTTATAAAGCATGGATAAGAGGAGGAGTGTGTGTATTCCAGATCAGGATCCCGCTCAGATCTCAGCTCTTTGCTTCCGTCCTGGTGTGGAGCTGGGCAGATGGGGAAGCCCTGAGGGGCAGGCGCGGCCCCAGAGGCTGAAGAGCTTCTTACTGTGGGCCTGGGGTGCACAGTGCCTGCTTCCTGTCCTAGGATCACAATGAAGGGTTGCAACAACCCTCCACCTGGTCTGTGACCTTTAATATTTACCCTGTGCCTGTCCTCACTGAAGGCCCCCATAGCCCTGTGACCCCATCTCAGATGAGGAAGCCACTGCTCACAGAGGTGACACAATCCATACAAAGTCACCTAGCTGCTAAGAATGGAGATGGGATGTCCCCCCCGTGACTTTGACCTTGGTCCAGTGGCTGATGTTTTTCTACTCATTCACTTCTGAACTTGGGACTTCCATTCGATGGACGATCTGTTCATGTGTTCATTTGTTCATTCATTCATTTATTCATTCAGTCCCTTAGCCAACATTACTAAGCGCTGACATTGGTGAACTGGACAGAGCTTTGGCCCTTGAGTCCGTGGGTAGACAGATCAGATCCCAGGGAACATGCCAACGGGAGTGCCAGGAGGGTGGCCTGGGGCAATGCAGCCGCACAGCAGCTCAGGACAGGGTGTGTGGGGACAGACTCCATGGGCTGGATCTTTTCTCTTCCTTCCTTTCACAGGCACTTCCTCCCCAGCTTTTGCCTCCCTCCCTCCAGTCTGTCCTGAAGGAAGCATCTGCTGTGTCCTGTTGTGTGTGCCAGCCCCTTGGGATCCCTGAGCACAGCTTACTCGGTTCCGGTCAGGCTGGAATGACCTTGCACCTCCTCCTGTCCATCCATCTCCCCAGTCCTGCTTGTCCCCTGAGACCTCCCTCCCACCCTCTCTCTTCTGAGGACACTTCCCAGCTCCTAGCGGGCCTGACCTGAGGGCTCAGCAGGGCAAGGTGCTCCCTGTCCCTGAAAACTTCTCTGCTTCTCCTGCAGAGGGTAGGTGTAAACACTGGTGAGAGGGCTTATTCCACTTTACAGAACTTCAGGGGTTGTATTGGTCCTGAGACACACATTTGGGGTCCACAGAAGTAAGCTGGGGTGAAAGATGACGGTCGTGGCTGGGCACACGTCACTCCCCTGACCATGCAGGTGTGTCTTTTTGTTTTCACCTTATATTTTGCTGAGAAGCTTCTGGTCTTCGGCCGCATCATGGAAGATACAGACCCTCAGCTTACATGTTTTCCCATCTGCCGTCATGGTTGCTGTTTGTCACATTTCTGACAACACTTGAGGTCCAGTGGGAATTTGTGTTGTTTGTTGAGACTCTGGGAAGGCGGTTATCACATTACATTCTCACTAGATTTAAGCCACGCCCATCCAGCATTACCATGACCTTCAACATCGTTTCCCCTTTTCGTGCCCTTTTGCCACCGCAGGAACCCACACCCCGTGTGAGGAGCTGCAGCCTTTACAACCCTTGGCCCCTTCTGGGCTGGCCCAGTTATCCCAGTTTTTGGGGGCTGGAGCTGGGTGTTGCCTGGGACACAGGACTCAGGACACATGTGTTCCTACTGCTGTTGTGACCCAGGAAGCTTCCCTGCCTGGTCTTGCTGGCTCTGCTGTGATTGGCAGTCTCTGTCAGTGTTAAATTGGTTCCTCGGTGACCATCTTCTTATCCATCTGGACGTCATCTGCCTGGGAACAAGACCTCTTTCCCTACCCTCCTTCCTGCTTTCTTCTCTAACGTGGCTGACACTGGCCACGCCACAAACCAAACCTGCAGCCTCACGGAGGTGCCTTATTCTCACCCTCACAGCCAGCCCCGTGCCTGCCCCAGTCCAGCCAGTGGAGGGCTCTAAGTCCAGCTGTCCAGCCCTCACTGCTTCCATTCCTCACAGCTGGGGTCAAGAGGCACCTCCCACCTGCTAGGCCCGCCTCTCTCTGCCCACCCAGCCTGTGGTGCTCCAAGCAGCCCTGACCTGGGGCGGGAGGGAGACACCCGATCCAGCATCCTGTCTCGGCTCTCAGCCACTCCCGCTGGGCGTCTGCCCTGGACTGGGTGCCCAGGTGGGCCTGGTCCATGCTCTAATGAAAGCTGTGTGACACAGTCCTTCTCACTGGGCATCTGCCTTCTCTCTGTTTCCTGGGAACCATCCAGTAACCATGGCAACCTTGCCCGCTGGGCCCAGGCCCTCCTAGCCTCCGTGTGTTTCCTTTCCGGGCGTGGGAAGCAGTACTTGCCTGCAGACATTCCCGGTGCACCCATGTTCTCAGTGGTCCCCTGCCTCAGGCTCACGTCCTATGACTTTTCTCCCCAGATCAGCCAAAGTGTCCTTTTAACACACCGATCAGCTCAGGCATCTCCCTGCCTCCGTGGCTTCCACTGCACTCAAAGAAACACGAATGCTTTTCGGGCACCTCTGCCTACTTTCCAACCCGATTTCCTCCCTTTTGGGTCCCTCTGTGTGGAATGCTCTTTTCCCAAATCCTCATGAGGCTGGGTCCTCCCCCTCATTCATTTCTCAGTTAAATGTTGAGCTCTTCACTAACTACCCGCTCTCAAGGACTCCACCCCAGTCTCTCTCTCTTACAACATCTGGCCTGATTCCCTTCAAAGCACTTACCACATCTGAAAGTATCGTGTTTTTTGTTGTTGTTTGTTTGCGGTAAGAAAACACAACATAAAATTTACCATTTGAACCATTTTAAAGCGTGCGATCCAGTGACATTTAGTACATTCAAAATGTGCAACCACCACCACTATCATTTCCATCACCCCAAAAGGAAAGCCCGTATCCTTTAAACGGTCCCTCTGCATCCTCTCCTCCCCCAGCGCCTGGCAACCACTGATGTGTTTTCTGTCTCTGTGAATTTGCCTTTGTGGTCGTCATCTTCCTCTTTTTTCATGTATCTGTTTGCCTGTTTATGGTCTGTCTCCTCCGTTAGTCTGCACGTGCCATGACACCATGGCTGCGGCTGCTTTGCCTCCATCCCAGCGTCTGGAACAAGGCTGAGGGATATGGTTGGGGGGCAGCCGTGGGCAGGGAGCTGCTAAGACCGTTGCATGCGTGGTTTGGCAGTGGGGCTTGATAGAAGAGACGGATATCAAAGGATTTCCCTTT